TACATACTGGCCAAAACTATGTTACTTGGCCATTCCTGGCTGCAAGGGAGTCTAGGAAAGTGAGTACTTCAGTTTGCCAAACTGTGTAGTGGAAGTGGGCAGGAAAAAAATAGGCTGGGAATGGCTGTAAGTAGCCAACTAACAGTCTCTCATACCCTGTTATAGTTTCTTACTAGGCTACATGTTCCCTGTGAGCAGGGCTTACGTCTGTGCCACTCATCAATATATGCAATCGCTACAGCAATTCCTGGGGATGGGGGAGTGGGAGACAGGGAGACTTTTGAAATTTTTGCTGGCCCAGCATCCATCCTTTGTCCCTTCTTTTGGCTACAGAACCTTGATTTCACTCTGGGGAATGGTCCTTCCTCAATAGTGGTAGGACTGTCAGTCAAGGGGTCCCATCCTTCCATCAAGGTGTGGGAAGTGACTTAAGTTAGTCACTTTACCTTCTCTCCTGGAAAGTTAAATCTTCACACGATGAAAAGGTTGGAAGCATGGATGCCGGGAATCCTCTCTCTTGCTCCTGCTCTTAGAGCCCTGGAACTCCCCTGGTTCCTGTCTTGGGAGCCTGCTTGGTTCAACTTTTCCTTCAATTCTGTTAGCCACCTCCTACCCTGACCATAAATTCTTTTTTATTATTTTGTTCCTTTTTTTGACTGAATCCAAGAAGACTAACTGATAAAAGTAAGCATTTAATTATTTGATGAATGACTATTGTTTTAACTAAAGGTAAACTATAAACTAGAAGATCCTGAAACCACAGCAAAATAATAAGCTAAGTAAGATTCTAACTTTTCATTTTGGGCCAAACTTCTTGATTTGCAGTAAGTCTTACTTTTGCGGCTACAGAATGTTCCTTTGTCAATCTCTTCATCTTAAATGTCACTGATTATGTTTTTTTCTATCTGATTTACACTCCCATGGTGTTTCTGTCCTAATTCCTACTGTCTGCTAAGCCCGTGCCCTCCTCGTCCTCCCACCTCATCCCCCTTGAAAGGCGTCAGCTTTCTCTAGACAAGCAGCCATCAAAGGAATCTCTTCCTCATGAATCTGTGAGTTGTCAGAATGACAGTCTCAGAGGGATGTTGGACCACTGCCTCCAACTCTGAATGGTACATTTCCTTTTCCTTCGGGTTTATCTTCCAGATTTGCAGTTTTGAGGTCATCTTTGAAAACCTTCTGCTCACAGTCAAGTTGGCGCTAAATGTTCTTAGAGCTGCTCATCCAGCCTGATAGAAGGGCAGAGTGGGGAGGGACTTTGGGAATACTCTGTTCCAACTCTCTTCCTTTTGTAGAAGACGAGGGAGGCCGATGGGGTGCTGTGACTGTCCCAAGGTCATGCATGCAGCTCTTAGCAGGGCCCCATGTGCACCAGGTCTGGGGACTCCCAGGTGATTATTCTTTCCACCAGACTACACTGTTTTCTTGGTTTTTATATTTGTTTATTCTCCTCTAGAACTCCACAGTATTTAATATATTAAAATACTTTCTCCTAATTTCTCTACTTCCACTCCCTAATTATTTTTTATCCTCAGGTAAACCATGTTACAGGTAGGGTTCTGCCAGAAGCAGACCCAGTAGGGAGTTAGGGCACAGAACGTTCATTAGCAAGTGCCCTTGGGACAAACACCAGTGGGAACCAGGGACAAAAACAAGAGTGGACAGAGAGAATAGTCGAGCAGCAATGCAGACCCCTGAGAGCTTGGCCAAGCCCATGGAGAAGTTCTGGAGCTAGAGTGGCCCTCCAGAGTTGTCCCAAGCCAGGCTGACACGGCTGGCCCCTGTCACTAGAGATGGGCCATCCCCAGAAGAGTGTGATCTGGGGCTCTCCACAGCTGAGGCCATCCCTGAGAGGGCTGACAGCTGAAGGCTGCTGACTGCCAGCACTCCCAGCAGCCGGAGTAGCACATCCTCCCTTGGGTGGCCATGTCCATCAGACCCCATTACCCTTCCAACGACTAACCTTTACTGTCCTAGAACCTTGTCATGATTCCTGCCCTTGAGGAGTCTGGTGGGAGAGATGTTAACAAATCATGATAATGTGAAGCATCAAATTATAACATAAAGGGAAACAGCCACACAAGGAGGGGATGACTGACTCCGGACAGAGAGGATCAGGAAGACAGAGAGCAGAGGAAGAGCTGAACAGCCCCTGCCTTCCTTGGAGGAACCTGCTACTGTTTACATTGTAAAGGCTTCATTTCCTTCTTTCCTGTTAATGTCTCTCTCCCTCAAGATCTTTCCTTTGGGTATAAGTCTCTTAATTTCATTTCTCCCTCATTTCATGTGTTTTTCTTATTTCTCCTAATGTCTAGGGAGCCATTTTTCTCCATTTAAAAAGCTAGTCCCTCAGCCTGTTTTATGTTAAGCTTTAAAAACTAATTGGGCAACATTTTTGCTCAGTCGCTGTGACTACACATGTGGCAAACAGCATTTTCAAGGGATCTATAGACTTAATGGGTTCAGGTTTCAAATATGTACCTAATTAAATTTCTGATCTTAATAAAAGACATTACAGACTAGATGCTAAGTAGAAATAAAACCTTGAACAGGGAGGGAGTGGGGAATGGAGTCGGTTAACAAGTATTTACTTGTCAGGAGATTCCTAACGGGTTATGCTGCCAGATCTGAAAGGTTATGTTGCAAATTTTACAAAGGGAATATAATCATGAAATACAAAATTGGGGCTTACAATTCTGTGGCCTAAAAAAATAGAAAAGAAAAAAGGAAAACAACTTGCCACATTCAGACTTGAGAATAGGAAGAAAGTAAGACACCAAAGCGCATTTGAAAATAATTGGCAAGTTGTAAGACTCCTCAAAGAGCCTGGCGGCTTTCCAGTTGCTGGGGGGCTGGCCTCAAACACACAGCAGCAGATCTTTGATGAGCCTGGCGTGCCAAGCCGCCACCTCATTTCCCGGGGGAACTTCCCACACACGGTGAGTACCGAGTGAGGGCAAACCTCAAACCCGCAGGACACTGAGCTGGAACGCTTTCAAGCCAGGCACTTGGACTGCACACTGGCTCCAGCCTTTTGGCAAGTGACAAATGGAAAGCTCCCCAGAGCCTTTGCTGTCGGTGCCAAGAAAAACCTGTGCAGTCAGGGACCTGGGTCCTGCGCCTAGAGGGCTTGGGTGGGGGGTTAGTAAGATTCAATAATTACACTGAGTCCAAGTCCTCTCTCCCCTTATTTTTTGTTTTATAATTTTATTTATTTATTTATTTTTCCCCCAAAGCCCCAGTAGATAGTTGTATGTCATAGTTGCACATCCTTCTAGTTGCTGTATGTGGGACGCGGCCTCAGCATGGCCGGAGAAGCAGTACGTCGGTGCGCGCCCTGATCCGAACCCGGGCTGCCAGCAGCGGAGCCCGTGCACTTAACCACTAAGCCACGGGGCCGGCCCCTCTCTCCCCTTTGAAAGTGGAGTCAAGCCCAATATGCATTTGATGGCCTGTTAGAATGTGTAATACTACTCACTATAATTTGGGGAAGCGGAGGCTAAATTACATTGGGGTTTCTCAGCCTCACCTGGGGAGCTGGTAGATGCTCTGGGACCCAGAATCATTCCGTTAGATGCCAAGGCAGCTTCTGGATGGTTTGACCTTTAAATTTGGAATCCCTTTGCTCCAAAGATGAATTACAGCCTAATACAGCCAAAAGGTGTGGCAGGCCTCTCTGAATCCGTGAATTGTGTTTGCTCCTGAGACAAGGAAGCTGACAATTATGAGGGAGTTAAGACATTGGCATCTGTTCCTTTTGCCTCTGAGCTCAGAGAGTCAGACTGTGATCCCAAAGGTGACTTTGTGACATCAAAATCCAAAGCCAAACCTCAACCACGAGCACCAGGTGCTGTTAGAATAACAAAAAACAAGTATGTGTGTGTCTGTGTCCATGGCCGAGTTACTGAGGATGTGAAAACAAAGCCATGAAACCAAGTACCGGCTGGCACCAAAGACGGAAATGTTGGCGTTTCACCACTTCAACTTAACTTAAAAAGTGATCAAAAAAAAATTTTTCAAGTCAATTATTCCTGAACATGGCTTCAGTGCAGCTTGCATTTAGTATATATAATTTTAAATTTAACCATCATTTGGGGCCATCTTTTATGTATCAGGCATGGTGCCAGGTGGTAGGGGAGGATAAAAAGTAAATAAATTTAAGCTCCAAAAAGCTTATATTGCAGGGAATCTTGGGAAATCATGCTCAGAATAGTCGTGATTAAACTTTGAATGAAAATGCAATTATTTCCTTTAAAGAGGCACTTTCATAGAGTTCATGGCTTCTGCTCTTAGGACATCCCTGAGTATGACACTTTCCCCACTTTATAGAGGGGTGACTGTTTCTGCCTGTGTGAAGTTGTGATGAGAGGGACTAGGAGAGCCTCCTCGCTGGTTCCTCTTGCTGCTACAACTGATTCACCCTCCTACAGTAGCAGTGCCTTATACTAGAGGGAGAAGGAGTAACTGGAGAACTCATGGATAATAGGTTGAAGGGACCTTTTTATTTTTGCCATTATAAATGGAGCATGGTCTTTGAAAAAGAAAAACACCTATTTTAACGTTTGCAAGAATTCTTAGACTAGTAATAATAACAGCTAATATTAAATATTTCACCTGAGCCAACCACAGAGTTCAGTGTTTTACATAAATTTTGCATTTAATAGTGAGAAGAATCCAATGAGGTAGGTGCAATTATCATCCTCAGGTGAGGAAAAGGATGTTCAGAGAGGCTAAATAACCTACCTCAGGGCACAGTTAATAAAGGACAGAACACAGATACGGACCCAGGCACTCTGACTTTGCAATTCTGCCTCTCCCTGTTGTCAACCATTCCGACTTCTTACCACTTTTCACTGGTGTCTAATAAATGGGAGGATTTTCTGGAGAACTACAAGGACTGCTTGGTTGAAAACAGTCTCCACTGGACACACCTATGGGGTACCAATTGCCAAGGCAGCCACAAATCTTCACCCCCCACCCCCACCTCTAGGCAAAGGCAGTGTGTTCCCTTCTGGACCCCTCGCAGCATTCTCTCTTCTATTATCCTCTACTGTATCGATTTATTGGTCTTTCTGCTCTAGTAAATGATAATACCCAGCAGGGATTTTGAATTATTCATCTTTGGATCTCCAGCATCTATCACAGTGCCAGGCATATTGTATGTGTTCAATGAAATGTTTAAATGACTGACTAAAGGAATTAATCCAGAGACTTAGATACAAAAAAAAAAAAAATAGATCAGAACTAAAAGAAATCAGATGAATGGGGCGGAACTGGCATTTATTGACTACCTACTATATGCAAAATACTACGATTTGCTTAACTCAATTAATCTTCGGAACAAACTTATGAGGTACTACTATAACATCTCCCATTTATAGGCAGGGTAATTAAAGCCTAGAGGGTTTAAGCAGCTTGCTCTGGGTCACACAGCTGGTAAAGAGCAGCACCAGACCAGAAATTAACCCAGGTCTTCTGGTTTCAAAGCCCATGCTTTTTCCTATTCGTCCTTCTATCTCCTTTAAAGATGATCTCTAAGTTTCCAAATGCTACCTCCAAGTTAAAAGAAATCTATTCTTCCTCAGTTGCATCATACCCATCATCTTCTCCCTTAAACTTCATAAGGACAGTCTCATAATGTTAATCCTTTTAGAATCTAGCAGAGTCTCAAAAGCAGATGATGTTAAATTTCAATTAGTGACTGACTGACTGAATGAATGAATGAATAAAATTATGAATAGATGGATGGATGGATGGATGGATGGATGGATGGATGGATGGATTCATTACCACCTCTCTTATCCTTACTAATGCAATATTAGTGGGAAAACTAAGGACTAAACATTCAGCTGTAGAGCAGAATTTTGGTCTCTATTTGCACAAGTGTAGTATCTGCAACATTTTCATTAGTATTTTTGAATTTGTGTAATTGATTTTAAAGTAATCATGGAAGTTAAAATTTATTTTTGCCTCTATGCTTCTTAAAACATAGAGTTTATAAGAAATTTAAATTGCACATTTATCCACTTTAAAACAGCACATTTAAAATGTCATAATTTCAAATGAAATTGCAACTGAGTTTAATAACAAAAACCAAATTTTTCATATATTGTGTTAGAAAGTGCCATGTTAAATGAATTCACAAAAGACAGTACTTTGCTATGTACTACTCAAAAAACCTGGCAACTTCTGCCCTGCTATTCATTAAACTGTACTTTAGAATATACAAAACACTTTGAGAATTTTAATTTTGGCCTGTAGAACAGTATAAAGACTTTTCTCCTGAAATTTGTTCAGTAAATTTTATTAGTTCTTCATCCGATCCTCACTTGGGAGAAGATAAAGACCACTCAGTGGTGAAGACACAGAGTAGGGAATTGTCATTGACAATAGAAAACAAGTAGATCATTCAGACAGCAAAGGACTCTGGGTAAGTGGCAACATGTGATTCCTTGGGGCATAAAGTATGACAGAGAATGAGTTTAAGGGGGATAGTGAACTCTGTGGTCCTTGAGTATGGGATAGTTGTCACATATGATATTGGACACATATTGGACAATATTGGACATACTGTCACCATTGATATTAGACATGTGAGAGGGCCCAGTTTAGAGCCAAGATTGCCAGGCACTGACCATATGATCTCACTAATATGTGGAATCTAAAAAAAACACAAAACAACAACAAAAAACCAAGCTCATAGACACAAAGAACAGCTTGGTGGTTGCCAGGGGTTGGTGAAGGTGGTCAAAATGTACAAACTTCCAGTTATAAAATGAATAAGTCTTGGGGATGTGATGTACAGCATGGTGACTATAGTTAATAATACTGTACTGAATAATGGAAAGTTGTTAAGAGAGTAGATCTTAAAAATTCTCATGAAAATAAAAAATTTTAACTAAGTATAGTGATGGATGTTAACGAGAGTTATTGCAGTGATTATTTCACAATATACACAAATATTGAATCATATGTTTTATACCTGAAACTAATACAAGGTTATATGTCAGTTATACCTCAATTAAAAAAAAAAAGAAAGAATGCCAGGCACTGGATGATTAGCCTGGGCTCTTGCAAGAGCAGCTACCATCTGATATGTCTCTCTCTCATCTAAGCCTCACAACCACCCTCTCAGGTGGGTACGATTGTTATTATGCTCTGTGAACTGAGGTTAAAATGACCAATGTCTCGCCAGAGAGTGGTGGACGTGAGAGTCAAACCACCAACTGTCATCTGCAGAGCTGCCTTTTACCACTAAGGTGTATTCTACAAAGTTCCACTATGCAGTTCTGCTTTATCATGAAGCGTCTTCTACAAAGTTCCACTCTACTACTGAGACTTTCAAGTACACTAGGTTTCCTTCTCAGTTGTCCAGGTAGTTTACTGGGATAGGCATGGAGGTAAAGCAAAAAATCCTGGATGAAGACCTCCCCAAGAATACACAATGCATATTTATTCTACTTTTTTAATGCTCTTTCTTTAATACTTGATTACAGCAATTATGGTAGAAAAATTAGGAAACCTGAAACATTTGGTGGGTAATACATCTATCTCATATGAAAACAGAGCATGTGAAAGAAATGGCTCCTAATGTTTTGCAAAATTGTAGGAAAAAATACTTACATTAATTTGTAAAATGACACACACACACAAATGTTATTTGGCTTATAAATTGTACTAAATTTTTTCTTCATTCAACAGTAGCTGTGAAATAATATATGTCCACAATACTTTATCTGAAACATTATGGGCCAGATGTGTTTCGCATTCAGAATTTTTTGAATTTTGGTGAAGTAGTACAGTGCTATATTACATGATATGCTCAAGTGGTATACGAAGCAGCACCTATAATCAAATATTAATATTTCTGCCTTGAAATATAAATATTCACACTAAGTGGGATAAATGGGTTCCATATAAAGCTTCATGTCATTTCAGGTGAGGCTTTGCTGCTCAACGAGTTTGTCACAAATTTAATAAACTTTTCAGAGATTTTTTTATTTCAGAATTGTAGATAAGGGGTTTTAGACTGGTATTTTTTGGAAAAACCCCATTTCATATACATCATTTTTTTTTTTTTTTTT